TTTTTTTTTCGTGATTTCAAAATGTACTAATCTGACCGTAAAGAAGATAAAATACTTTGCAAGAATATATTGTCAATACATGAAACATGATTGACAAACAGTACTGCTGACGTTCGTCAATCAATATAAACAAAATACACCTCAGGCATATTTTATTTTTCTGACTCAGCTCAAAGATTCATCGTATTTAAGAAGCTGTCGTTTACTAAAATCCTCAGTATATTGACAAGTTCTTACTTTTCAAATGGATAGAATGCAGTGTCTTGTATATATTATTACATTGATGATGTATGTAGTTTTATAAAAATTGACTTACGATCTGAGATAAAATCATTTTTAGACTTGTTGTTGCCGATGTCGAAGGTAAGACTAAGAAATTTATTCTGCTATGCTCAAAACAATTCTTCCATATGCATAAAATTCACTGCCACTATAATCGTTCTCATTTCATCAGTAAAAGATTGGATTTATTAAATCTCTTCGTTTTAATCGACAAGGTATATCAAATTCTTCCCCTTCTAAATGTGGATGCTGCCCATCGTTAGAGTATCAAGAAAAACCAGTTCCATGTTCAATGAATTTGAATTGTTCCTGTTTGTTTATGATGATGACATCGAGCGGACTATGTGCCGATAGTATTATATCGTGTAATAATTTAACTTCATGCGAAAGTGATAATGTGGCATGCAGAATGCCTAATACAGTGTGTGTCAATAACACTCGATGTAGAATTCCTGTTTGCTATCCTATTGAACGAGCTTCTTTGGAACGATGCCCTCCATGGACTTCCAGTTTATCAAACACTATTTCATCGAGTAACTGTCTAAGTCTGACTACCAGTAACAAGCATAGACTCATTCTAATTAATGTTTTTAATAACTTTTCTCATGGCTTTCAGAGAATATATTTGATATCTTTCTAACTTATGAACTGAAATTTGAAAAATGGTCGACATTCTATCAAAGCAGACTCTATAATCGTTAAGGGTTACATCCAATACCTACGACATGAGTTGAGAGAAAACGTCAAATATGACGCAATAAAAAATATAATCATTAAAAACAATCAAATGTTGTCTTCCGTGGTTTTAGTTAAGTAAACATTTTTTCAGAGATGTTTGCGTACAATGTTAAAGATACTGTAAGAGAAAAGTAAATCGACGGTAGAATTTTCTTACCAGCAAAATAATTATATTTCGAGTAACTTTTGTCACAAAGAACTATATAAACTACAGTGATTGAATCTCTTCTATATGAATGAACATTTAAGTTGAATCTCAGCTGAAATTTTACGAAATAATTATTACCATAGATTCTCAAAGAGATTGTTTCGTTTGTAGAGTAATGATGAGAAAATTCTACTTTGATATATTAGAAAAAGCTGACTAAGTTTGAAGCACAATAAATAAATTCTCAGAGAGTAAATATTAATTATTGAGCGTTAACTTTTCTCTTGCGAATGGTCAGTATCTAATTAGAAAATATCATTTTTCAAACAAGTTAGGCTACGACTAAGAGCTTTTACAGCTATTCAACGTTTTCTTGAAGATGACTGAGAAGAGAAATGTGAAACTTCAGAACGAAATAAATCCCCGTATTGATTTTTGAACTTTTTAAAGCTCAACTATCCCAGGCTATAAAGATTTCCAATAATGAATCTGTCGGCAAAAACTTAAAAAGGTGAAGAAACTGGTGCAAAGACTTAGAACTCTATAGTGTGTACTATGACGCTGATGCGTAATTTTTAGAAAGTGAGGGCTATAAAATTTAAATTTCAAAGGATTTCATCGAAAATTTTAGCTAAAGCAGTAGCTGTTTATTAATGATAATGATTTTGAAAATTCTTGAATAGGTTTGATCAAAATAAATGCACTATCCCTTCATTTCCTCGATAAAAAGAAAGTCAAGTGATAAGCACTGTATCAGGGATGGCAAATAAAAGTCAACTACTTAGTAGACTATTTCAAAAAAAGGCAGCTGAGGATATGTAAAAGTTTCAATTTCATATACTACTAGCCAGAGAAAATCGGGACACGGCGAAGAAATAGCACACATCATTCTTGTGCAAAATTCATTATTCGCACATTTATTTGTCACTAGGCATAACGACAACCACTACAAGAGCTGCAACATCATCCACTAGAACACCGTATACTACAACATCCTCCACTACTACGCCATTCAATATTACACAATCTCTTGGAAGTAAGTCGTAGAGCCACTAATTGTAATGCTACCATCTTGTTTCATTTGTCTCATTTCAAGACCTACAATTACATTTATCCATACTATTATTAGTAATAGAAAAATAATTGATAGAGGTTTTGCTGAAAACGAACATAATATGCAGTCTACAGATGAAAATAATGTATACAGAGCATTCACCATTTGAAGTCTATTGTAAAGAAGAAAGTCTTATGCTGACAGAGAGACAGCATATTACCGTGCAGGAAAAGTGATCCCATTGAGTCGAGAATTGGCGTGAGTATTTTATTGTCTGAATACTCGTCTAATAATGTCTTTGAGAATGTACAAGCTTAGCAAGCCTTAGGAAGTGAAGAGTGTAGATGATTTCTGTATACATGCCCACACATACAAATTATGTATGTTTCTCATGGAAAACGTTCAGCTAACTGTGCATTAAATTACTGATTTCAAGAATGGACGATTACGAGCAATATGAGGAATGGACGGTATCTTCATACAGCTTCTGTCTTGAACAATGGAAAAGTTCTAGTTGCTGGCGGACGCGGATATGATGAAAATGGCTCTATGGGATTCTTGTATAGCTCAGAATTATATGATCCAGCAACAGGAATCTGGACAAAGATGGATAATGTGAATATTAGACGGGAGGAACACACAGCCTCTGTCTTAGCCAATGGAAAAGTTTTAGTAGCTGGTGGATCCTTCAATGATGGATACAGTTTTTGGGGACCCTTGAATAGTTCAGAATTATATGATCCAGCAACAGGAGACTGGACGAAGACGGGTAATATGAATCTCGCACGTATTGGTCAAACAGCCTCTGTCTTGATCAATGGAAAAGTTTTAGTTGCTGGAGGATCCGTATATGATGGATACTTGAATAGTTCAGAATTATATGATTCAGCAACAGGAATTTGGACAAAGACGGGTACTATGAATCTCGAACGTTATGGCCACACAGCCTCTGTCTTGCCCAACGGAAAAGTTTTAGTAGCTGGTGGATACGGCGGATATGATGGATACAGTTATTGGAGAGACTTGAGTAGTTCAGAACTATATGATCCAATAACAGGAATCTGGACGAAGACGGGTAATATGAATCTCGGACGTTATCATCACACAGCCTCTGTCTTGGCCAACGGAAAAGTTTTAGTAGCTGGTGGATCCTTCAATGATGGGTACGATCATTGGGGACCCTTAAATAGTTCAGAATTATATGATCCAGCAACAGGAAACTGGACGAAGATGGGTAAGATGAATCTCGCACGTTATGGTCACACAGCCTCTGTCTTGACTAATGGAAAAGTTTTAGTAGCTGGTGGAACCGTATTTAATGAACAGGGTTTTTGGGAAATCTTGAACAGTGCGGAACTATATGATCCATCAACAGGACTTTGGACAAAGACGGATAATATGACTGCTGGACGTTATTATCACAGAGCCTCTGTCTTGACTAGTGGAAAAGTCTTAGTTACTGGCGGGCTTCATTCTTTCAGTAGTGTCGAGTTATACCAATGACATTTTTTCTTTAATTGACACAGTTTCTCTTCAACTAATATTGGACAATAGTTTTTCTTCTAACCAACGTATTCTAACTTTTGAAAAAAATTTTACAAAACTTTTTGCTGAAATCTTTTTCTGAATAAAGAACGTATCGAATGATAGCGTTTTATAGCTCAAAAGACAATGAACTGATGGCACCGTTTTCATTGAGTTATGCATGCTGCTCATAAGATGCTCATTAATTGTCTGGCAACATGCTGACGATGGAGAGTGTTATTAAGCGAATGTCTTGTTCGATGTCATGGGACTATTGATGTTCGAATTAATTAGTTATTTCTTGTTTCAGCCGACCATAACTGACTCAGAACTTGACATTATCTATATGTTGTACAATTGCCGTATAGGGTGTGGGTGTGTATATGGGTAAGTGTGTGAGCATTAATATCCCCACACCCCGCACCCACACCCACACTCACACACCCACACCCCATTCTTTTGCCTTTTTTCTGTAGATGGCATTTTACATGTATATACCATTACAATACACTGAAAACAAAAAAGGTGTTAGACAAAACCATTAGGGTTTCGTCGAAGTTTAACATATTCCAAAGGTTATCCTACAATTATACGAAATCCATAAAAGGTTTAGTAATATGTAAGGTTTTGTATAAAACCTTTACAACTTCTGAAAACTAAGAAAAGGTTTCATTTAGAACTATTTTTAAACCTCTGAATCCAAAAAAGTTTGGTAAACAGATCATCATGAGTGTTGAAGCAAAAGAAGGTTTTGTATAAAACCTTTGATAAGTGTTGGAGGTCCAAGAAGAGTTTCGCATAAAACTCTTTAAGGGTGTTGGAGGGTGTGGGTGTGGGTGGGTGGGGTGTGGGTGTTGGTAGGTGTGGGTGGGTGTGGTGTGGGTGTGGGTAGGTGTGGGTGGGTGTGGGTGTGGGTGGGTGGAGTGTGGGTATGGGTGGGTGTAGGTGGGTGTGTTGGGTGTGGGTGTGGGTGTTGGTGTGGGGTGTGTGGGTGTGGGTGTGGGTGGGTGTGGGTGTGGGGTGTGGATGGATGTGCATGTGGGTGTGGGTGTGGGTGTGGGGTGTGGGTGGGAGTGCATGTGGGTGTGGGGTGTGGGGGTGGGGGTGTGAGTGTAGGTGTGGATGTGGGTGGGTATAGTTATAGAGAAGATTTACACCCATACACCCCACACCCACACCGACACCCATACCCCACACCGACACCCACGCCCCACACCTACCCACACATCCACACCCACAGCCACCCACACACACCCACACCCCACACCCACACCCACATCCACCCACACTCACACACACACACCCATACCCAACCCACACCCACACACCCAATTTATTTGACAGGATCAGAATAGTATTTCTAGAAACTTAAGACTGAATTGTTTACGACTTGAGACGCATTCTTAAAAACTTAACTTAAATTCCTTGAAACACTAAACTTCGGGGTTATTTGTAATTTTTATCACAAGACATTTGGAAAATTTTGTTTTGCCGTTTTCTGCATCTGTTTGAAAGCTTATATATAAAAGAAATTTTTCGTTGTAAACGTTCAGTGTCCCCGTCTTAAAACTAAGATGTAATAAATTAGTCTAGATCATTGAGAATGAAGACAAAAAACTCGGTGATAAACGTTTAAATTACCCTAAATGAGCTTTTAATGATTTGCGACTCTTTATCAATGTCAACAGCTAGACATGTTTTGATTTTATGTAGTCTATAATCTTGAAGATTTACAGAGTGAAGAATTCGTCGAAAAAAGAATATGATAATAGTGAATTTTTAACGACAATTATACAACTAAAGCTTTCCTTAAGGACAGTTTTTCAACAGATTTATCGAATATCTTTCAGGAACAACTTAATGGACGTAAATGTCATCAAAACTTAAACGCACGTACCCACACTCTGACCACTGTTAGAAAGAGAGAAAACTCATTTTCAAGAGGAATCGATTTGATTGTTTAACAACTTTCGTCTTTTTTTTTTATAACTCTTTGAGTTGATATAAATTAGCTTTTGATTTTTTTTTATCTAGATTTATTTGGTTAAATTTTATATTTCAGACGGCGCTTTACAATTTACTACTATCTTAATACAAAAGTTGAATTACACTGCCAAATTATTGCAATAATTCAGATCTATTAATTTTACTTGCGGCAAGTAAAGTTTCATTACGTTGAAATAATGATGTTGCGTTTTTTTTGTCTATTGTATTTTGATGTTATTTTATTGCCCCCTTGTTTAACTCTTCTTAAAAACCGGATGGATGAGAATAAGTCTACGGAAGGAATCCAACACAAAGTCATAGAGTTTTGCAAGCAGCCTAAGAGCTTTAATAGAGAATGGATTATCAGCAAACTTTATGAAGGTTATCAAATAGATAATGCATTTCATTTACGAGCGTCCCCTTCAATAAAATATATCACACGTAAGCATGGCCTTCCAGAAGATAAATGGGACCAAATTTATCAAGACTTGATAGCTGAGAATATTGATGACGATATCAAACTAAATCTTGCTCAAGCCATGAAATATGCTATTAAGAAAGGGCATCTTGCTGTTGAAGTTGAAAATCTTCTAACAGTCTTACAGCAAAATCATTCATGTAATATAAAATCCGAGATGATATGGGCTATAGGTTATCAGGTTAAAAATTCATTTGTTAACGATTCCGGGAAATTTGTAGATGAAGATTTAGTCAATAAAATCAGTAGTGTCATAGAAGAAAGGAAAAATAATCTCAATATAGATGCGATAAGCTTTTTGTATGATCAAAGACAAATACGAAATTTTTTAAGTCATAGAAACTATCGACAAATAAGTCATAAGAAAAATCAAGCATTAATAAATTATAATAAAAAAACACCACAAATAGCAATTATGAAAAATCAGCATACAGTTAAAATTAAATACAAACGTAATCAGTCAGAAGAATCAACTGGTAGATTAAAATCGATTGATGTTTTTAAGAATTCAAATAAGAAAACCAAAGTTAGTTCTAACAGAGAAAATTATCCAATCATATCTGACGAAGATGGAACCGATGGATCTCCTTTTCGAACAACCTATCGAGAAGTCGCATATCTCTATGAAAGAGTCAAAAGTGGTCAAGCATTAAAAAGACAAGATAAAGATGAATACTTACCGTCAAAATTTTTAGGACCACAAAATAAGTGGTTTTGCGATAATTGCATTAAAGTACTACTCACAGATCGAATGATTGCTTACATATTTTATGAAATTTCTAAAAAACAGATATTACAGGATAATGTTATTGATCTCCTAATGAATTGCGTGGATACTCTCGATCGTTTGGAAAAAAAAATTTTAGGTGAAACTATGGAAAAGGAGAAAATCTCAAAAGAAATTATGATGACAAATCAAAGCAGAAAAAGCGATCACTCTAAAAGTAATCAAATGCAACCTACATTGACTCTTAGAAATGAACCTGATGTTTTTGTAAATTTAGCACGTAAAATCTACGATGAATCGATTACAAATCATGAACGAATTGCAGAAGCGATTACATCTGAAATACGGAAAATAAGATTACATGCAATTTCAACTGTATATATTTGTTCATCCAGAAATAAGACTGTATTGAGCAATAAACGTTTAAAGCAAATTCAACATCATCAAAATGATGATGATATTGACTTTAAAAAAATTATAGTAAAAATATTAGGAACTTTAGCAGATCGTGATAGTATTGATTATAAAAATTTTTTAGAACTTGTTTAGAACAAATCGAGAAAAATATTATTGTAGAAGATTCAATATCATATATTTATCAACAGAGTACAGACGAGATAAGATGTCAAGAATTATTTAAGGAAAATATTATCTGCAAACTAATTGATTTATTAGAGAACATTTATTTAAGTGAACAGACAAAAATACATATTTGTACGATAATTAATAATTATCTTGAACATAGTTCTAGTAAAGCTTTGAATGAGAGTCAATTACAAATATTTGCTCATGTATTAAATAATTTGCTTTATAATTTTGAATTAAAACTCGAAGCATTGCGATCAATAATATTGACTGCCGTTAAAAATCGACATTTACCAGATTTTATTATTCAAACTCTAATTAAAAATATTGACAAAGATGATAATAAACTTAATAGTCTTGCAATTATAGCATTAGATATTGTTTCTCAGAGACAGATCATACCTAATGTAGATAAGCTGTCAACTAAATTATTAGTTGATTGGATAATAGTGAACGAAGGAGCTGGTATTACATGCGAAAAAATGTCAAGCGATAATGTAGATTGTCAATCAATTTCATCTTTAGCAGCTGAAATCTTTGTAAATACTTTAAAGAACAATGTAATGATTAATAATCGAACTCTTGAGCATCTTACAAAAGCACTAAATAGTAATCATAAGCAGACATGTATTTTATCAGCAAAAGCACTATATTTAGCTTCAGAAACTCATGAACTTGGAAATGACGTTTTAATTGAACTGAAAGAACACATAGAGAATAAAATAAATGATGTTATCGTCTATTCAACTGTTGCATATACTAGAGGTCTAGTGAAATTATCATCCAACGAAGGGTCTATTATGAAAAGTCATATGGAATGTTTACCAAAAATTTATGTATTTGATGATTTACAGTTAGATGAAGAAACCTTTGCTGATACAGTAAATAACAATATCTTATCTGTTTTGCTTAATGTATCTAAACATAATCTATTCGATGATCATATGTTTGTAATATTTAATCATATTTTATCGTTTGAAAGTTGTAATCAAGTTGTAGCAATTAAAATACTTTATAACTATTCAGCAAATAAATATTCGATTCCACAAGATACAATTTTAGCATTAGAAAATGCGATTGATATACCTGAAATTTCTCATGAAGCTACAAAAGTATTGAGTAATGTAATTAAAAATCGACAACTTATTAATGAAAAATTTTTGCGTCATCTCACTGATAATCTTTATTTATCGAACGATGATCAATTAAGAAAAGAATCATTTGAACTGTTAGATATAGCCAATGATAATCAAGACATATCTGATGAATTTTTTTATATATTAGAATTAGAAAGGGCTATTAGTATTATTAATTCTTTTTCATTAGACAGGAATGATGCTATGTCTTATCTATACGAAATGACAGAACAAAATCAAAAAATAACACTTAACGGATTTAAAATATTAGATAAAATAATGAGTAGTCAATTTGTATTTGATGAAAAAATTTTCGGAATTTTGTTGAATACTTGTAAAAATGAACAATCGATACCTGATAATTTAATTAATAAATTAGTAGAAAGATTCAATCCTCGACAAATTAATTGTCAGTTAATTGATATATTTCAAAATTTAGTTAAAAATAATCAAAATATTCCAACTAAACTTTTATTTAAATTAGAGAAAGCATTAGAAAATACATTGATTTCAGATCAAGTATTATCGATTTTTGTACTTCTTGCACTAAAAGGTCAATATTTATCAGAAAATATACTCACAAAAATTTTAGATAAAATTTTAGTTTTAGAAAATTCATTGATTATTGAACAGTATTTATCTGTTATTTTTTCATTGATTCAAAACAAAGATTATTTTAAAAAAAATTTTTTAAGTTCTCTTTTTACATTTTTTACACGATTTTCAACTAACGATATTAGCTTAGTTTTACGTATTCAATCAGTTTTGATCCATATATTAAAAGGAAATAATCAAAATGTGATTCGTGCAAGTCTTAATGGATTGAAAATACTTGTGACATTTCACAAAGTTAAACTTAATCAGAAAAGTACAGATATATTATTAGATCTAGCAGGAAATACTATTTGTGATGAAACTATGAAAAATGATATTAATGTACTATTAAATATATCGAAATTAGATAATAGTCAACAATGCAAAATGAAATTGTTAAGATTAAAGTATAAATCGAATGATGAATTACTTGAAGCGTTAGCAAAATTTTCTAAACCGAAATTATTTCAACAAAACTTTGATCAATTGAACAATATTATTAATAATTCCTCAGAACTAAATGAAAAAGTATTGAAAATTTTACTTGAATGTTCTAATAAAGACAAAATAACGGATACATTATTATATGGTATTATTTTTTTAATGAATAGTACGAACTCGAAAGAAATGAGATCATTATGCAGAGATTTAATAATTGAAACAATTAGAGCAGGAAAAATAGTTTCAAATAAAATCATATCTTGTATTGTTACTCAAAATGATGTATTAAAATTGATTGCTAAAAAACAACCGATTCCAGAAAAATTTCAACATCATTTAAATTTATTTTCACGTATTGTTATTACAGATAATATTGACCTAAAAGATTTTAGTGAATTTCTAGAAAATATTCGACATGAGTTTAATCAAGATTATAAATTATCTGATCTATCGATGTCAAAATTGCTTTCCATTCAAATTACTAATAATGACTATGATATTTGCATGAAGTTAGAACAAGAATTGTTTCATATATTTGTATTGATCTTAAAACATAATCCGACATATTCTTCACAACTATCGATTGTTAATAGATTAGAAAAAGCAATTTTATTTGAAAATATAAACAAAAATATTCTCATGACCTATCAAGAAGTTATTAAAATGAAACAGTGTCAAACAAATAATTTATCGAAAATCTTAGATAGTTTAGTAGATTTATTAGATAGTAATAAATTTCTAAATGTTGAAGTTGAGTTACTGACATGTATTGCTCTGATATCTGAAGTTATGGATATATCAAAGAACGAGACTTTAGAAAAATATTTTTCAAACGATAATGACAGAATAAGAAGTTGGTCCTTTAGAGGTCTAAGAGCAGCATATGACAGGAATGATAAGTCTAAGATATTTGAAGAATGGTGCAATAACATCATGAACAATCTGGAATTTCATACAAGGGTTAAGGTAGTCATGGATTTAGATTTATTTGAAACGATTAGTACAATAAAATATATAGATTTTAACAAAATTTATAATAAACCACAAAATCAATGGAATAGAGAATTGTTAATTTTTGATTTGTTAGAAAGATTTACATTAAATCAAATAGAACAATTTGATTTTTATAAAACTTGGCTTGAAATTGAAGAATATACTGGATTTCAGCAAGATCAAAGTGATATATTACTTAAATTATTACATCGAATTCAGTTAAATAATATGATTTCATTTAATCAATGTAATGAACTTATAAGAATTTTAAAGAACATTGATTTTGAAAGTATTTATAATATCCTATCGAATAGTTCAAATCCATACGAGGATATTCTCAAAAAATTTTTCAAAGATCTAATTTTTGAACGTTTATCAAATAAAGAAATAAATAAAAAATATATCGATAATTTAGTACGTAAAATGATTATAAAATTTAGTTTTGATATAAGTAAAAAACTTCTGAATACAATATATGGTGAAGTAGCACAATTTCAATTTGATACTCTAAGAACAGAATATAGTCAACTTAATACATTGGGAAATAGAAAATTTGAAGTTGCTATAGTAGATGAAGTAGATAGTATGCTTATTGATGATAGTTCAAAAATTGCAAGACTTGCAACTATCATTCCAGGAATAGATCAATTACAACTAATATACCACACAATATGGTATCGACTTATTTATTTGCAAGATAGAATGCTTGAAATTAATAACAAAATTTATTTATTTCATGGAAAAATTAGTTTTGAACAAGAGAAAATCATTCTAGAATATATTGATGAACAACAAGGAAATATTATTAAAATTCCTGATTTAAAAATCTACATAGAATCTATTTCGAATATTAGTCATATTGGAATATTAATTTCAGAAAATGTTGAAGTTGAAACATTTATTAAAAAAGATATAGAAAATTACATTAGAGATTTACTTAATAGATTAACTATTATACCAAAAAGTTTTGAAGAATTTGTTGATACACAAATGTGTAAATGGATAGATAATGCTATGATTGCATTAAATTATCAGGAAAATGTACACTATGTCGTACATCAAGGTTTAATTAAACCAGTAGACTACGCTAGTACAGGTATTGTTCAGAGTTTTTCACATTGGGGTGATGGTCTCCATCAATTTTTGCAACTAAAACATAATCTAAGAATGACGTCTGAAACTTTTACTACGAATTTTCTATCGAATAAAGGATTTTTCATAAAATATGGTTCGAATTTATTTGGTCTTACGGGAACACTTGGTTCCGAAAAAGCTAAGCAAGTCTTAGCCGATATATATAATGTAAATCTTGGTATTATTCCCAGTATGCGTCAAAAACAGTATCTTTCATTACCTGATCTTGTATTAACTAATGAAGTTGATTGGCTTAATGAAATATGTCGTTCGGCAATTAATGAATCGAGAAAAGAACGAGGAATACTTGTTATATGTGAGACAATCGAATATAGTACACAAATAGTAGAAAAACTCCAACGAGAATACAGTTCAGGTACGATAAAATTATATACAATGAATACTATGAATCAAGAGAAACATATCGAAAAAATATATCCGAGAGAAATTATTGTATCTACGAATTTAGCAGCTCGAGGTAATGATATAAAAACGGATAACATTAAAAAATATGGTGGTCTTCATGTTATTATTACATTTATGCCACCGAATAAACGTGTTGAAGAACAAGCATTTGGTAGAACTGCACGACAAGGTAAACGTGGTACAGGTCAAAGAATAATAAATGCTTCTAGTTTAGCTCATTATGAAAATTTCAACATACAAAAAATCACCGAACTACGAGACAGCATTGAGACAAACATTTTAGATGATTTTCAAAAGCGTGAACTTAAAATAATTACTTTAAAAGATGAACTTTTTACCAAGTTTTGTTTGTTGTTAAATGAAATAAGACAAAAAATTAGAGATAAAAGTAGTTTATATGTAAAAGTAAAAAGTCAAGCGAAGAAAATATTGACAAAAATTTCACCGTCCATTCTTGAGTCTAATATACTTCTCAGCATTGAAGAACAATGGGCTATATTTTTACGTGAAATAGATAATCAAATATCTCCAATTGATAATGAAATATTTTATGTACGATTTGAAAAATTTAGTAAAAACATCCGAAAAAATTACGAAAATGATTGTATTATTAAAAATCCTTATTGTCACATTGCCATTGCTAATGACTTAGTCATTAATGAGTCTTCCCTACGCAGAAATTATGATGATGCGATGAAACATTTTGATCTAGCTATAGAACTTGATCCAAAACATACTGCAGCTGCATTTGCTGGAAAAGGTTGGTTAACATTGAAAGGTAAAGAAAATTTTTTTGGTTCCAATAAACAATCTATAGGTTATAAAGAGGCAGCTATTCGATTGTTTAACAAAGCACTTGAAATTCTTAGTGAAGAAATATCAACATTGACAGTTATTCAATCATTTCTAAAACATCGTTGTCAGAATATGAATACGGATCTTAGTAAACAATTAATGCAAAAGAATAATATTCTTAGTTCTTATTGTAATAGTTTAGAAAATGCTGTAAATATTATTAAGAAATCGCAAAGATTAATTCAAATAACTGAATTAATAGATTACTCAAAGTTAAGAGAAAATGAAATTAATAGTAAATTTTTTACGAAAAAGGACTCAGTAAATTTCCAAAGCGAAATCTCTCAAAAGATAATTTCATATGATGCAATTGAAAAAGGATGTGGAAAATGGTGCGATGTGCGTTTAATATCTCATAATAATCTAAATCATTATAAGACATCAATTCAAAATGGTAAAGAAATTATAGTTATGAAAGGAATAAATAATGCACTTACAATTGTTTATAAAGACAAAATTCAATATCAATTAAGGGAATGGATAGTGGAAGATTCTACATTGGCTAATGTACTTGCAGCTTTATCGTATGATGAAACAATTCTTGATCGAGATATTCATATGAAAATTTATACTTTAATTTATGAGAAACTTACATCAAAAAATGGTCATATTCGAGAAGAATTTCTAGTATTTCTTCAAGAGTCAACAGATCATAATCAATATGAAGTAACATTTAATGATTTAACTGTTAGACAAGATAGTAAAATCAAAGATCAAGCAATAGAAATTATCGATAAGATATTACCTCAAGATGAAGGTAGTTTGTTTGATATCAATGGTGAATTTTCATTTTTCAATAAAGTTCCAAATTTTTTAAAGAAAAGTGGAATTTTGGAACATGATTATGAACATATAAATATAACTATGCAACAGGTTAAGACAGAGAAATTAAGAGAATATCTAAATCCTAATATTGAAGTTAAAGACTTGACGAAAGAAGAAGCTCTAACACAATTGAAAGAGAAGAATTTTTTTTTCAATCGGTATTTATTACCACAAGCTTGCTTTGTCGATTTATACCGAATTAATTTAGAAATTATTTCCGAGAATAACAATAAACTCGAGAACATGGCTGATCTAAAGGCCACTGTCGCAATTAAACGGATCGAAGAACGAATAGATCAAAATGAACGTTTCAATTTGAGTTTTATATCCGCTAATAAAACAGCAAAAATCTTAGAAAAAGTACTATATCGTTCAAATATAACAGTCGAATTCATTGATTTAGGAGTAGAGAGTGTTAGAGAAAAGTTAAGAACGATAGTATCTAGATCTCTTACTCTTGAACTCACCAACACAAAAGAAACATTATTAGAAGTTATTCGTTCCTTAACAACGGAGCAGATACAGTTGTATAATCGTGTAAAAGAACAAAGTATTATTGAAGTAGTAAATAGGATTACAGCTGAGAAAAAAATTTTAGAAATTTCAAATACATTTGCGACTATAAAACTAATTGATATAAATAAAAGTATTGTAGAAAATGTACTTAATATTTGTTCTAATGCGAATTTTAATATAACTTTTATTAATATAAAAAATAGTTGTCTTTTGATTGGATTAAAAGATGAACTTATAAATGTAAAAATCGATATGTTAAGAAAAAACGCGGCAAAAACTATTATTAAACGGATAAGAAAACATAAATTAGAATTTAGTTTAGTATTTTCACAACTGACTTGTAATCAAGTGAAACAAATAATAGAATTAGCTCCAATAGAACAAGAGAACATAGAAGTTCAGAAATTTAAAACTTTGAGTGAATTATTCATGAGTCAACTACGACCTAATGTAGAATTAGCTGAATTTTCTGGACGAGGTATCGAATATTTGATTGAAATTAATGAAAAAAAATTGATTTCATGGACAAGTATAGCTATCATATGTGCTCTAGCTAGTGTTCAAATGGCAGTAGGTGGACTATTAATAGCTAGTGGATTTGGAGCTACTTTAGGAATGAGTCTTGTCACTGAAGGAGGAGCAGATTTGTTTATTGCTTACAGAGTATATAGTACGAGACAATTTTCTTGGTCCGATTTTGCCAAACAAAAAGCAGTAAGTCTAATTATTTCAATAGCTTCAATAGGACTCTCACCACTCAAAGATGCAGCTAAGGGAGCTCAAAACTTAGTCGTGGGTGTAGGAGAAGAAGTACTTGAACAAGCTGGCACGAGAGTAATAACAAATGGTAGGTCCGTATACCAAACATTGAATGTAGCCAGGAAAAATTTGAATAGTCTAGCTGTTAAGCATATCGCAGTAACAATTCAGAAAAATATTATAAGAGAATGTTTAAGTAAATCAATGGATGGTAGTTCGCATTTTTTATTGAATCAATGGAAGCCGAAAGTTTCGGAATCCATACAAAGGGAAGTTTATACGAAATTTTGTGGATCTATTTTAAAAACGATAGTGAATAAAATGTATACACTTGATTTATTTACTAAAAAAACATATTTTAAAGAAAAACTTCATAAAATACTATTTGAAATAATTAATCCTGAAGATAACGTATGGAGTAATGAATTTGACGTCTTGGCTGATGTATTATGCAAACGTATTTTATCTAGTATGTCGATAACACGTAGTTTCGCAAATATTGGTAACATAATACTTTGTAATCTGAGACAATTTCGTGAAATTATTTTTATTGTCGATAGGGTTTATAATCAACTTTTAAAAAAACTTTCGAATATCGATCAAGAAACTTTAACCATGCGCCATATTTTACAACGTTATTGTGAAGTGAGTAGAAATGATGTCACAAATATCATAAATATTCTACAAGAGCAAAATATATTCAATCAAAATGAAGAGTTTAACGAAGAAAATTTTTCCGAAGAAATTATTCGTACTCATTTGAATCAATTCAATGAATCGAAAGAGAAAATTGTAAATGTTTTGAAATTCTTGTATTCGAATACTTCAAATGTAGATAATTTAAATGAAATAATGAAATTAGTATCAGATATAATTACTGAACAAATATTCAGAATTACAGAATCACAACTTATCTTGCCTTTGAGTAGTTGTGCTACAGGAAACTTAACAAATATTTTTTCAGAAACAGTCGAACGGTATTTAGTTGTAGACGAAAAACAAAATTCACCTAGTCAAAATCGAGAAGAAAACAGTAGAACATATAATACAATAAGAGAACAAATTGGACAAAATGCTAAAGATTATACTATCGCATATAGCCAATGTGAAATGATTCATTATACTAAGCAAAGAGATGAAATAAATAGTCAAAAATTCGATGAGAAAATAAGTGATTATATTACAGGTGTCAAAATGAATCTACCAGCAAATATATCGGACATACTTACATTAGCCGAAAAGCATGGCTTAGAACTAAAATTAGTTGATGATCCTAGTTATGAACCAACACACGAAGATAAAACTAAATGTACAAGCATAGTACTATACAATAAAAGAGACCGAGATAATCAGGAAAATGTTAAAGTAGGATATTTTGAATTAATGTCAAACGATACGAACGAATATAATATTTCCAATACAAATAATGATTCTGCTTATACGGTTATTCAACAAATATTAAAAAGAAAAGGAATATGCATAACTATTGAAGCACTTCGTCACGATAGAGCTAAAATAATAGAGGATAATCCTCATCAGTTTTCCATAGCATTAAGAGCACAAGAATGGATTGAAAATCATTATCCTCAAGAGATGAATGATTTATTAATCATAAGATCAGACAAAAGTTCGAGGTTGTCGAACAATGAAAATCTCATAGTTGTTTGCTCATTAAGATCCAATTCACTTGACTTAAGCTGAGATGTTGGTGTAGAAACGGAAATTCAGCTTTGTTCGTCTTGTACTATCCTCGTGGTCGCTTGTATCACGTGTTACCAATAGACACATGTGAATTTCTGTTTTTCCACCCTATTTTTCAATCTTAGAAGTACCCATACCTTTCTTATTGTCCTAGCTTTATCGATAAACTTGACTAGAGAGAACAGTCTTCGGAATTTTCAATTCCCGAGTCTAAATCTCATCATATCGTTAATTCGTTTTCTTTTGTCAATGTTTTTTATCGCTTTTTATAATTACTATTATTAATGTAATCCTCTTGTTGTCGCCTATCTTTTATGCTTCAATTTTATTTCTCTCTAATGTGTTTCATTTTTTTCTGTATCTTTTTGATTGGTTTTTTTTTGTTGTAATTCCATCGCAGTTGCATCTTACAAAATCTTTGAAGTTTTTCAATTGACTGGAAGATATAAAGTAGTTAATTTATAATTTTTCCAAGAAAGAAGCCGCATTTATCACTTTATATTGCAAACAAACTGAAATATTAAATGTGATCATGTAATCGATTATCATACGATCAGTGATAGAATGTTACACACGAATGGATCAGTATTTGCCAAATGCTTCAAGACAAACTTTTTTGTTTGTGTCCAATATGAATTATGTTGAAGTCGTCAATGATTCAATTTGTCAGCGGCTTTTCATATGGCAAATGAACGATACTAATAAAAAACAATCCTATTTTACGGATGTGTAGTGACTTTTCAAGTGTGATAGATATGAATGTCGCCCAGATTCAAATTGCTACTTAGGAGAGATGAATGGTTTGATTGTTCGATAAAAATTCAATTATCATTTCATCCAACATACCCGTTTCAGTTCCACAAATATACAAGAAACTAGTAGATAAAACTGTTATAAAATCCATGTACCATCATCCTGGCATGCTTGGTAACTCTTGGAATAAAAATACATTCAATTGAATCTTCACAAAAATGCTCTTTAGCGAACAAATTAATATGAATATTTATCTCCGACGATTATAAAGGCAATTAGATTCGTTTCCACCTAATCATTGACCTAAGAGCTGTTTTTCAATTGAAATATAAGATCGATTTTATTACTTGATTCTTATTGATTTTTTAATAGTATATATTGTGTTTGTAAGGAGACTGAAAGAAAAAGGAAATAAACATGAATATAAAATAATATTTTGCAATACACAACAGTGATTCTTTGTATCTATAATAATATAGATACTTGAAAATAAATTTCAGTCTAGATATGATTCAAAATTACTTGTTTTCCTTAATTAGGGTGTGGAGTGCGCGTGTGGATGGTTGTGGCACAAATACAGTGTTAACACAGCCTCACACTCATACCCACACCCACACCCACACCCACACCCACACCCACACACCCACACCCCACACCTACACCTACACACACCCACACCCTCACCCACACCCACACCCCACACCTACACCTACACACACCCACACCCACCCCCACACCCCCCCCCCCCCCCCACACCCACCCCCACCCCCCCCCCCCACCCCACACCCACCCACACCCACACCCTTCCTAAATTTTTCGAAAAAATTCTTTAATTAGAAAATATATTGTGCCGCACACCATTCGACGCAGTTTTACGTGCTGATTGCCAATATTGCCTTCGTTTCTCGCTAACATATTGTTTTAATGACAAAAAAGGAATTTAGGACCAAAAACCAGGGTTTTTT